ATGAACCCACTACTTAAAATGTAATATAAACTCAAAGTTAATATTATTTTAATAATTAAATTTCGGAGTTGTTCATATATAGAGTACGGATTTTTTTTTCAGGATGTATTGGTATCGTGCTGTAGCTTCACATTTTTCGAACATTTTCTATTTAGATTCGCGTTATTATATCTATTAATAAATATAATACGCCACAATCAAACTCAAGGGGTATCTTCTACTGAAAATAAAATTTAAGTAAGAACACAAAGTAGGCTGTGCAAAATAACAATTAGAAGTTAAATTCAACATTTTGAAGAAACAAATGATCTCAACGCCATGACCAAAGAAGAAAACGCGACGATTCACGACCGTTTAATTCGATTGCGTGCTTTAAGACAACGATTTGTAACAACAAGAAAATTCCAAGTACAACTTAATAGTACGGATAATGTCCAAACAAGTCCGTTTACAACCGTAAGAAGACTCAAATTGACCTTCAAATACTCTACAGGAATACAGGATTGAGATTAGACCGCTCGACTAGAGTATTTGTTATACTGGAAACATTTGAATAATAAATATGTAACTAACAAAACTGAATAAATGTTTTAGAAAAACTTATCTCAAGTTAGTTAGAAAAATCGTTAAACGAGTGATGTGTGGTATTGCATTATCTTGTAACAACAGGAAATTGTTACCTACGTATGTATGATGCGAAAGATATAAAATGTTGAGGTAAAACATCCTGAAAATATCCTTCATTTGTCAAGGAGCCTCTACGTAAAGAATCGTGCTTCGTTCCAGCAGTCAAGAAAATCAATTTCGAACCATTACTAAAATTTTATTTTCAACTTCAGGTTCATTGTAACTTTGATTAATCTGTATTTGCTTTAGCAATACTATCATGACGCAAATCAAAAAAACAGAATGTTCCGATAACTACAACACGATATCGATAGATCCCAGCTGTTTTAATAAACAGGTGCAAGACCGGCTTTATATGCACATTACTTCGATATTATTTTTTAACTATAGATTACTTTATTAATTTCATTGACATATCCATTTAAATCAGATACCTGTAGATAAACACTGGTAATGTATTCCTGTACCTTACACTGTCGCTTCATTCTTAATTTTTACAACGCAATTACATTTCTCCTTCGAAAATTTTTTTTATGAATATTGACACCAGCCCAAACACAAATTACACCAACACTTAGCATTAAATACAGGTAGGAAGCTAATTATTCCTAAATTAAACGTCAATTACTGAACTTAATTTTCCGCCATATTAATTAAGTTCTGCCCATACATTTGATCCTAGAAAGCCTTTCTATTTTTCGCGTTAACAATTAAGTTCTTCAATTTTATACCGCATGCGCGAAAAGTAAAAGTCTTTTTGACCAATGCACACTTTTGAACAATGAAAATTAAAATTATATTTGTAAAAAAATTTGTTTTCTCGTAATTACGTCTTTGTAAGGTAAGATGGATGAATGTAATCTAAGGCTTATTACTAAAAGGCAACATTCAAATTCCAATTAGAAGAAAGAATGTTTTAGCTATAAAAAAAAATAATACGCATCTTTCGTTGACGCAAAGCTAGGAAAACTAGCTACGATCTTGAACTATCTGCCCCAAATGAAAATACATGTCAATTTTTCCACAAAGGTTCTATAACTAAAATTTCTTTTAATCATTTAATTGGCATACAATTTAAAAACATGGAATTATACAATACTTTTTAAAGTACTTACACGCGATCGTTCGAGCACTTTAGGCTGTTGCGGATTGCATTCAGTACTAAGCCTTGAATCTTTTTAGAAAGATTTTAATCTCCTCTAGAAAGCGTGCATCGGTCAAGAACCGGTGTATCTTTCTTATCAAGGAGTAAATTATCAAAACTCAAAATGATATGCGATATACATATAAAATCGGTGAATCCCAACTGTTCCTGATCGATACCTAATGCTAAATTCACACGCGCGTATAGATAAACACATCATACTACGCTATTCATACGAAAGTGTCTTCAAGTACCTACGGCGGCGTGAGTAATTCGCGATAACAACGCTAGAGTCTTATTACCCGTGTATTATCATGTGTTTTGATAATATTAAGTATTGAAAAATTCAGACATGATAATCGTTACATGTGTAGGGCGTGCCACGCGTATTATCGAAGGTCTATCTGAACTCATCGTAATTACGATTTGAAATTAATCCTTTCCTCATAGGAAAGCCGGATAGTTTCCCCACTTTTCAAAAAAGCTGTACTATTAAAAAATATATACTTATAATAAAGGGTAATGCAACATATATATCATAACTTAGGTCTTTGATCTCTTATAGTAGCCTATGTGTATAAACATAATTAGTATTGGTTTTATGTAAATCCTGTTTTATTTGACCATTCAAAAAAGGGATAGTTGCCTACTGAAATGAATAGTAGCCTTACGTAAAAAATGGTACGAGGAATACTTGCCTCGTGCGGGGATAGCCGTCTCACTATGATTTTTTTAGATAGAAACAATTTTATTTCAATTTATATAATCAGTATTTACTATTAATTGAGTTCCTTTATTATATACTGGTCAAAATATTAAACAACAACGGTGTATGTCTGGAGCACGGCCTTGTACAGGATTTAACAGGAGCAGACAAAATAGTAATGTAAAATATTATTATTTATCTAGGTAGGATAAAAATGCCCACATCAGTATTCCTAATATTTTTTATTATTGTTGTCAAACACGAATAATTTAGAAAGTGTGTATATTCAGTCTGTCCCAGGAAGTGTTTTCAGGTAGTAAAGGGAGGTTTTCAGTAACTCTAGAAGTGTGATTTTGTCTTTTCTTTCCACCAACTGTTTGATGAGAAAAAAAGGCATAATAAATCCTAGAATTGTTTCTCAATGATTGTAAACAGATTCATTGATTACGGTATCGCTATTTTGTTGTTAACTAGAATTAAGTGATAAAATATAAAAAAATATTACAACTTGACGACTGCCAAAATTATTTCTTAAAATACGTTTTGAATGTCGGTGATATTGTCTGCATAAAAATCCGACCACTGAGACGTTCAATTCTCCTGAAGAGATGTAATTTAATAGGTGAATCAAGGAGGCAGCCTTTCATAATTGAATTACTACACGTGTTTCACGTCTTCTTGCAAGAATTTATTGCGTCCAGAACCATCTAAAATTAATGTTTTATGCCTTTCCTTGTTTAATCCAACGGCTATGCACCTATTAAGAGTTAATAAATCATGAAGTCTTTGAAGGTGGTGTAAAACTCTTCATTATCCACAATATGAATTAATCGAGTGGGTTATAATCAATTACTGGGAATATAAGATGTTTTATTTATCGCTATATGATTTACAGAGAAAATCGTAAACCACATGACATTGTTATATTAGCTTTCTTAATATTTGCTTTTATTACCTAAACTTGCGATATTTACTTTCAATAATGTTTCTAACGATAAGACTACTTTTAACCCATAACATAGTTACGAGTTCATCACTTTCTGGCAATGTTAATAATAGATAATTGCTCATAGGTGCAATAATAATTAATAAACAATTTAAGAAAACAGCCTAAATCAACTTATCTTCAGTCCATACTGGCCGACAGACAGACACAAAAAATTTCTAAGGGATCAAGGGTCGTTTGTGTTTCAACAGCATATATATACTATTGATAATTTTCTCTGATAAAGTAAAACTGGACAAAGAAATTATACATTTCTTCAAAATACGACCAATGGCGCAGTAAACGCCATCTGTAGCACGATGTTACATTTTAGAATTACGTATGCTCCAACAAGATCCATTTTAAATATATGGATATCTACTTTTTGTAGTATTTTCTAAAACGCACTGTTAGGACAGCAGGTAAAAGTTGGTCTGTGTTCTGTCGGAGCTGCCTGCGACGCGCTGATGAGATCCAAAAAGATCGAAATCGCGATCCGCGTCTGGCAGTTTCGACAGTATACAGACCACTTCGAATTATTTTATTCGATTATGGTAACGTGCCTATCACGTTGAGGTGAGCTACGCCGGGATTCGTTTCAGCAAGTAGATATCCATATATTTAAATGGACCTTGCTGAAGCATACGTAATCCTAAAATGTAGCACTGTACTACAGATGGCGTTTACAGCGCCATTTGTCGTATTTTCCATACTTATTATGTTAATATTTGCGCATATATCTATATTCAAACAAAATAAACTACATTACAATGAGAATATTATCTGATAAGTTACCATGCCACAGATTCACACTCAGGCTTCAGTCACCTCGCCACTCCCTTTCGGTAGGAGGCTAAAAAATATATTAATGTTATACCAAAGTAAAAAGATAGAGTAGCAGTCCGTGCTATCTTCGTAGGAGTAGACTAAGTACTTAAAATATTTTATTTTAATTTTACCACACCCTATGGCACTCTACTAAGAGTCCATTTCCCCTTTTATGTGTAAAATGTACGTATCTTTAGGGGTGTTATAGTGCTCCGCGACTGCAACCGAAACCGTAGGTATCGGAATTAAAAATCTGAACTAAACCTAATATAAAAGTTTCGAATAGGGGAGAGATTTAAATGAGACATGTCTTGACAGGCTGCGTATAACACAAAAATGAGTAGTTATAATAATCATTTATAAGGCGAATTACTTTTTCTGAGACTGTATTACGAGAAATACAGTCAAATCGTTACCTATCTAAAACCGGTATAATATTATTCATAATATGTATCTCTATCCATATCCAGATTAAAAATTTCATATCCACAACATATCTCTGCTTATAAATAAATTTGGTATCTATCGTTAAATAATGTAAATGAATTGGTAATTTACGAGACAGATACAAATCTGGGATGTCTCGTTAGTAAAAGATATGAAAACATAAATGAAATTTTTGCTGAAGAGTTTAAAGAAAAAAAGTTTTTTTCGCACGGACTTATGTAATTACTATGTTAATTGACTAAAAAATAATGTTTTTGTTTCAGGAAAAAAATGGCGTTCCTTGACTCCCCAAGATCGGAGACCGTACGTCGAAGAAGCAGAAAGACTACGGGTCATTCATATGACTGAGCACCCTAATTATAAATATAGACCCAGAAGGAGGAAGCACAACAAACAAAGATCTGGAACGACAACTGGAACTCCAGGACCTCGAGTCGGGACGTCCATAGCGAGTCCCGGTCTACCCAACATGTCCCCTCGATATACGGGATACATACCAAATGCCAACCTGTCACCAACCATCCAACAAGGGAGTGGTTATGGTGGTTTAGAATTCTCAAATACAGGTATGCACATTATCAATTATTGGTCTTAAAAAATATTCAAATCTATGATAAAATAGTGTAGTACTCATTTCCTTTCAAAATCAATAATTTGACACCCGTTTCTGGGTGTTCTAGGGTCCTGATTTTCGGTTGAACCATTTTTAGTTGAACACGCTTTATTTTCGCAGTTTTAGACAACATAAATGCTATTATTACTAGAGTTAGTATTTTTGCCAAAGACATGATTTAAATATGAGCATAAATATGCATTTTTATGCACTTTATTTTTGATCCACTGGCAATCATACCTATAAACGGTAGCAATACGACTAAAATGACATTTATACATAAATTTACGTAGAATACTTCTTATTTTTCCAAAATTAGTTCTCAATATTTTTTTATCCACACAAATATAAGATTGTAACTCCCTGTAGGCTTTTTGAGTTAAATCTAGGTTCACCTTTACCTTAATTATTATTAAAACGATGTAATATTCTAGTTTTCTTACCTTATGTACACAACTGCTTTGGATCTAGACTGAATCATCACAACAGGTACTTCAGAATTCTTCTAGCTGTAAAAAGAAACATATTATTAATTTTAAATTATGGTTCATGGTTGTCTTAAAACAACTCATTTTTACCTTCACTTTCAAATTTTATCTTCAAGACACTCGTATTAATTAGAAATAATGTTAAACAAACCGATCTCCTTCATTCATACTACACCGACAAAATGCAAATAACGAAATAACAAGAACCATCCTATTATTAGCCGAAGGCACTGTTCATCATTCACCCGAAATGTAGCGAAGTCTTATCGCAGTTAAATTGCACAATAATACATGTGGAGCAATAAAGACGGAATTATTTATATATCTCTTTCTCTTTCTTTCACACGGATCAGAAATTCAATATTCTACATAAAATGACCTAAAGATGACTTTCAGCAGACACCGCCGACCTAAAAAGTAATGTTACACATCTATTTTTATAGGTACTACACAAACAAAAGATAATTCAACACCTCATTATAATTGAAATATTTTTTCTTTATGTTAACAGTATGAAGCTTCGTACTTTAGTTAATCTATGTGTTTCTTACGTTCGAAATATTCAAATTATTGATTCGAACTTTTTGTACAATTGTACCACATATATAATTCGAAGGACCATAGAAACGCCGAGTTGTAAATATAACGAATTTATTCTAACTTATTATAAATATTGAATTTTTATTAGTGTCTTATGAAAATAACTGATGTCTAGTTACCCTCAGCGAGTCTACAAAAGAACTTTTTATTAAACTTAAAATTTTGTACACTAGATTCCGAAATCGACAAATTATCCCGCCCAATAACGAGGTTATTGACAATAATACCAGTGCACAATATACTAACCATGGGATAAACCCTCATTTGTGCTTCTGCGAATTTGCCTACGTGACCGCAGATTTCGGAAATATTTCTAAGTCCAATAACAATAAACTTTACATTAACGGTATAATAAAATATGAAAATGTTTATGCCATAAAGTCCCTGCGTCGGCATATCACATTAAGGTTCCTTAACACAATAATGGATATGGAAACAGAAATACAATCGAATAAAACTATTTCTTAATGAATTAATTGTTGTCGGATAATACTCCGTATCAATAAAAACACAACGGTTTCAAAAATATTTCTTACTGTAACTGACAACAATTTCTCCCTTAAAAACCTTAAAAAACCCCCAAAAGCCTATTGTTTATCACGGTTTCTTAAAGAAAAAGCTACAACAAATTCTAATAAAACATTAGAAAACCTAAAACGCATTTCGTCACCCAAGACGTTTCTAACCTTCTGTTAGCTAATTAATCATAAAAATTACAATCTACACCACAGGTTCTTTTTCTTTCAGGTGCTGTGAACGACTATTCCCAAGACAAAAGGTACAGTCCTGTTAACTTCCAACAAAAATACCAGCAGTACAGTTACATGACGTATCAGCAACAGCAGCAGCAGCAGCAGCAACAGCAGCAAAACTATGCTCAAAAGAGTCCTTACGAACTCCACACTCCTGACGCTTCACCGTCCCAAAGTCCCGAACCGAAAGGCGCCAAACAACCCAGAAGTCCTTTAGATAAAGACAGTTCTAAAGAGGAGAGCGACCACACACTTCCCACTCCGGAATTATCACCTCACAATCAAGAGAAAGAATATCAGTTCGGCGAGGACAAAGGACAAAGGATATCAAACATCCAACATTCAACGCCAACATCCACGATAGGTAGTAACAGCCCAAACCATCAAAACTATCCGACTAGAGTACAAAACTTTAGGCAAAACAACAACGTGAGTTATACAGATTCGCAGCCGATAACTTCCGTCCCGATGGCAAATGGATTGTATGTCATGTGTGCCAATAAAAGTTCGGTCGAACAAGGGCATGTTGTCACTGGAACCTTTTATCCACCCGTTGCCACATCACAAGACCAGCAGTTACTCGGTGTGGCAAACAATGCCCAAAATAACATGAGCAACACGGTAGCGAGCACGTCGAATACAATTCACTATTATAGCAACCCCATGCAGCAATATTACGGCAACAAAGATTACTATAAAGACGATATACCCACCCTTCTTAATAACCAAGAAGGTGGTAAAAACGAAGCCTACATCTCGTACAATCAACAGATGAAAAACGACATAATTATGGAAAAGCCAGAGTACGATGCGTATAAAAACGCTATAACAGATCAATATCAAACGGCCTATACCGCGAACCCCATTGTGCAGTCGTACATGCCCCAGAACGAAGAACGCAGCGACGTAGATAGTGACGTTGACACCAGGGAATTCGACAAATATTTGAAGTATACAAACAACGATTCAAACATTGTCGACTCGAATCATAATTATCATAGGAACGAGAGCATCTGCACTAACGTGACCTATAACTTCCAAGCTCAGCCAACGTCTGTGATCTTGCCGAATACTAACATAAAACCGGAACCGTTACTGAATCATTATCCGGAAGTGTATAATGGTGAATTCCCACCGGGCAGTGTTCAGCAGAAAGACGACGATTTTAGTGAAATTTTGGCCGACGTGCGGAAAACTTGTTACAGTAATTGAAGTGCGATTTATAGATCAATAGTCAATTTTTATATGTGCAATAAGTTCGAGATGACGCGGTCAGTTGTGTAGCATAATGTGACTTACTTACGGCCAGTGCAAGTATGTCGAAACGGATCATCTAAACATTTCATGAAAAGAAAATTTTGATAATGAACTGCAGTGGGACTACTAGATTGGATTTTTTTATTTGTTACAGGTTCACGAAATCGCTCCACGAATGTAAGCACCTTATTGTTAAACTTCACAGGCGGAAAAGCTAGATACTAAAAAATATTAGGTACAGTTTTAATTATGACTGTTTAAAAATAATATGGAAAACAATCAAATTATTTTTCTTTCAATTTGTATTTATCCAATTTTATTAGCAACTCAAATTTTCATTAAAAATCGAAGATGAGTGATTTTTGCCGAAAAGTAGGTATTTCTAAGTTAACAAAATATGGACTACACACAAAAAGGAAAATATTTTGGAAAAACACTGAATGTTAAATTAAATATCTGCTTCAAACATTTTAAAATAGTAAAAAATTGATATATTGCGGCATTGCTAAATACTAAAATCAGGTACCACAATTATTTATTACATTAGGAGGCATTCATATATTACATAAACAGACCTTTAATAATTTTACACCCTTTCTCCGCTGCATAAGCAAAAATAAAAAAAAATTATGAGCGTCCCTCCCAAATAATAAGATTTAATATTTTTTTTAAAGCTCTCAATGTTTGGTTTTTAGAAAGGATTTCATTATATCTAAAAGTTAAAACAACACTGTAATAAATCTAAGATCTCAGCTCACAAAAAATGGCCTTCTCTTTTGACAGAATAGTAATCAAGGAGTAACAGTTTGCCTTTGTAAAATCTTAAATTTCAATCGAAACCGAATCAAATTCTGAAAATTCGTAGTATTGTACAAACTAGAACCGCCCTCATTCGTAATGGCTAATGATATATTGAAATCCATAATTACTATAGTATTGTTCTGAAAACGTTTTTATTATTTTGTAATTTTTCATTTTACGTGAGATTTATAACATCCGAACGATGCTACAAATCGGACATACTGTGCAAGTGAGAACTCCCTTTGTCAGAAAAAGTACGAAACCTCGCCCCTAAGACTTCTTACGTAATATTTAAACGCCCTCTTATTGCTAAAAAGATCACTATGTAATGCTTACGTATGTATAAAAAAATTTGCACACATTTTCAGTACAATTCTGGCAAATTTTCAGCATTACTTGGTATTTTACCTAAAAGTTTACAAAATTGATACTACAAATAGTTATTACTCTTTTACCAGCCTTAACTTTTCATGAAATGTATTAAATAAATAGATTACGACATGCCTATCACATAAAAAATATCGCCGCCATCATGTACAGTTATTAATGGTGTGTCCTTTTTTCTAACGTCAACAATAAGCATTAAAATTCCAGAAATTATTTCAAACGATATACATAGATAAGAATTAGAAAAAAAAACAATACGATTTTTCTTATTGCTCGTAAATATATAAAAAGTTGATTTTAAGTTATTTTTCCAAGCGAAACATAACAACAATACAGCACTTTATTATTTTTCGTTCATTCATTTAAAAAATTGTCCTACAGTAGTTGGCTATCATGCATTTCTAATCTCTGATAGCAAATTTTAGAACTGTAGGAATCTGAATCTAATCCATTATCCATATAATGTTATGATTTAAAAATTATGAAACACATAAAATATACACATAGATCTCAAAATAATCGCGCAATTAGGTACACCATTTGGTTGATACTGTTTATCAATAATACCTACACTAGATGATATAAGAGTAAAAAAATTTGCAAATTGTTAAAAAAACATAAGACACTATAGCTCGAACTTCTTATAAAAGAAAACAATTCTTCTAAAGATGCATTCAGACTAAGTGAACGAATACTTATTCGCCCTTTACTTCCGCTGACTCCTTGATGTAATATTACTTTCAATAAGTAGGCAGTGTTCATTAGTATTCCATAACTGTTCGATTGTCATTAACACTAAACAAATGTGAATCGAACCTTTTGTTCCTATATTCTATGCTGTCGTTCGCTTAGTTTTAACGCACTTTAAAAAATTTACGAACTGTGTGATGGTAGATGCTTCAAAGACTGAGTTTAACCGAATCGAAATCGTTTTTCGTGAATCTATGAAACGAAATGCCTGATTTAATTGTGATCAAAAGTCAACTAAAAGTGCTCTTAATTTTTTTGTATGTAAATATATATAANCGAGAATAATCTCGGCACGTGTATTTGTACATATTATAATTGTGTAAGCAATAATTTTGTGGCAAACGAACTTTGCCGTTCAAGTTTGAAGGACAAAATGTATAAAATAAATAATAACTAGTATGTTGGATTTTGTTCCAGTAACCAAAGCGTGTGTATCATGTAATATAATTAGAAAATAGTCGTTATTGCTTTTAGATTCATTGCAAAAACTGTTCGTATTTGTAAATAATATTGGGAAATACAGAAATAGTTTATTAAAAAGAAATGTGTTTTTTTATTTTGTGTAAAAATATTGCCAGTGACAAGCAAATAAAACCATTCAGGATGGTAAGTATTAAGCTGAACAAGAAAGAAATAACAATATCTACTTAATAAAACCATATTTTTAGTCACTTCTTGTCTCCTTTCCCAACTTATCTACCCTTGGATTCCCTCACAGAACCGCGGTATAAAATTATCAGCAATTAAAAGGTGGTAAGTATTTTAATAGAGTTCATAAGTATTGGCGGTGAACTTATGATAGTCTTTCTAAACATGTGACTTATATTTTCTGTGAAAATGTTTTTTTATAGAAACAAAATTATTAATTATATCATTCATTAGTAAATCACTTTTTGCGTACATTCTGCATTTTTAAGGGAATTTAACGTCCTACGTGTGCTAGTGCTTAGAAACCTTAAATCTATCGCTCTATAATTTCGCGATTCATTTATGGCGAAGATGATGTGTAAAGCAATGTGGTTTCAGGTTGAAATTTCGAAGGTGCCATTGAAACATTCATGTTACATAGTACGCTATAGTGACAATTAAATGTCTCTACAGGAATTTCCAATAATTAAATTCATGAAGTACAGCAATTAAACTCATGCTCTCTCACTCCTCAACTAAGAGTTCAGTAGGTTTGCTAATATACCCTGTTATTTTTACATAAGTTATGAAAGAGTTCTAATATTCAAGACGTGAAAATTCTCTTTTACTGCCGCTTCGGGTTAGGACGCCAATTGAAATAACAAAGCGTCATCATAAGATCGTCTGTCCTAAGACTGGTTGGACACGCACCTCCACTCTTTCCTATCCTGAGCTAATCCTCGCATTTCACTAAAAGTAGAATAACCCTCATCCTTAACTATTTGCGAACAATAATGTAATTTACCCCTCCTAACTCCCGTTTCTGCCTCTAATATGTCTCTAGACCTTCATGCCTGAGAAGGTGTCCTACTAACGTATCGCGCCTATTTCTTATTGACTTTCATAGAGTCCTCTGTTCTCCTATTCTTTCTAATATCTCTTCATTTCTAACCTTGTCTGTCCACGGTATTTTCATCATTCGCCTGTAACACCACATTTCGAAAGCTTCTAACCTTTTCCGAAGCGGCTACCGTCTCTGTTTCGCACCCGTACAGCGCCAGGCTCCAAACATACACCTTCAACAACCTTTTTCGAATTTCTAAATTAATTGTTCGCAGGCATAAAAGTGACTTCTTTTTATTGAAAGCAATTGGACCATGCACTATCGTCTGCCAGAAATTCCAACCTTCTTATTTGTGCATATAAAAACTGAATTACATTTTATTTTCGGTTAAAGAAAGTTAAAATACTAAACCGTCAAGAAATTCTATTATTACAAAGTTATCGTGACTCTCGTTCGAAAAAATATTCGCCGTTTTAAAGTTCAATGGGGGAAACGCAGTCTCCCATTTTTTTTTTTCCCAAAAATCATTCATCTGCTTCTTGTTCAGTTCATTAAATCGCCTAGGATGGAAATTGTATCTCCGCCCTCTTGGTGTCAAGTAGTTTCACTGTAATTAGTAGGACTTGATTTACACACGAGTTCGTAATTGTTACCAACATGTTTGAATGTATCAAGTACATGTGTGCAATGCTTTGACATTTAATCATCTACTAGAAGTTGTGCCTTAATGCTTTTTGAGCATGGCTAACAGACCATAAAGAAAAATGTGTATAATTAACAAAATTATTGTTTTCCCAGATAAAAGCAGCAATGTTTGTTTTAAGAACGCGTCCGTTTGGTAAGTTGTTTCGTAGAAACATTTCTCGCGTATCTACCAATTAGGATTGTCACTTTATGAAAACAGTTGAGAAGACATCATCAAATAAGGTAGCTAATATCAAAGGCAATCCTTATAAAATATATACACATAATTCAAAAATTAACAGAAGTTTATAAATCAAAAGCAAGAATAAGTGAGCGTAGGCATTCACAACTGGCGTCTTCAGTACTATTATTATTTGTTTTCGGGCTTTCTGGCCGTTGTCTTTGTAAATTATTTCCCGACGTTTCGCCTGTGACTGCAACAGGAATTTTCAAGGGTAGCATGTCGCTTACTGGCCGTGAGTGCTGCGTGATGTTAACTAATACGACGGGGAAAATACCTAATATAGCGGGGATCTACAGTTTGGCACAATAGAATCAGCGAAATATCGATTTCTAAGACCAATGAACATTTGCCTCTATAACGAAAAGTTTAGTTTGTTAACGATAACTATACGGCGGTACAGTGTAATTAATATGCTGTTCATTAGTGTTCACTCTACGTATTAATAGAATATCACGAATGATACTTCCTTATTATGTTTATATTAAAAGCTCGTCAACGTTTTCGTTAAACTTTAATAAGTTGTTGATGTTTGGGCACGCACCTCCACTCTATCCTATCCTGAGCTAATCCTCCCATTTCCCTACAACTAGAACAACTTATATCCTTAACTATCTGCGAACAGTAATCTAACTTAGATCTTTAAAGTTGCGTTTCTGCCTCTAATAAGTTTCTGACTAGATCTTCATGCCTGGAGAAGGTGTCCTACTAATCTGTCTCGCTTATTTCTTATTGACTTCCATAAAGTCCTATATTCTCCTATTATTTCTAATACCTCTTCATTTATAACCTTCTCTATCCACGGTATCCTCATCATTCGCCTGTAACGTTCTAGCCTTTTCTTTTCCGTCGCGCCCGCCGTCCATGTTTCGCACCCGTATAGCGCCATGCTCCAAACATACGCCTTTAACAACTTTTCTCGAATTTCTAAATTAACTGTTCGCGAGCATAGAAGTGACTTCTTTTTATTGAAGGCGACTCGACCCTGTACTATCCTCTGCTTTATATCTCTACTACTCCTTTCGTCGTGACTTATCTTCCAAGATACCTAACGATTAGAATTTTGAATATGGTTTTCTTTTTAGTAACCATTCATTCTTCGTATCATTGTCACAAGGTCGTCGCTCAGAAGACTGACACGCACTCTATCCCATCTTGAGCTAAACTTGGAATTTCCGGAAAATTAGAAAATCCAACATGACTAACAACTTGCAAAGAGTAATCCAACCTGATTCTGCTCTCGCTTTTTTTTACTCCTGCTTCTGCTTTTAATATGCCTATGTTTATCCTTAGATAAATATACAGATGCTTTTACGAGGGTGGATTGATAAGTTTCCGGCCTGACCAAGAAAAACAAGGTTTTTAAAAATTTTTTTTTTTTATTTCTCAACATAATCTCCTCCAAGGCTGATACATTTCTCATAGCGGTGTTCCAGTCTATTAATGCCATCTCTATAGACTGATTCGTCAAGCTCCTCAAAATAACCATTTACAGCTTCGATTACTTCTTCATTGTCCGCAAATCTCT